GGTGTCACAGTCTTGAATGTGTTAATTGTGAGATATATAAATATATTTTTTGGTTAATTGATTTGTTACTTGATATGGTTGAATTACTGGTATTATGATTTTTTTTGTCATATGATAATGAAATAAATTATTTTTATCCAAACGACCACATGAATCCCATTTAGAAGAGCTTTGAATTTTTTAAATGATATTTTATTTGTCTTTGGATGCCAAAAGATTTTAATTCACGGCATAGAATTGGAGGAAAAAAAAGATCGCCTGAAACTTACAAAATTGTATCAAGATTAGTGAGTTTGAATAGTTGACTTACATGTTATTACTCTAGTTTAAATCAGAATGGGTTATTATCTGAGAATAACACTTTGGACAATCAGGATAATACAATTATTCAACATATGGACTTGATAATTGTAACTATTCATAATACTAAGGTAAATGATATATATATATATATATATATATATATATATATATATATATATAAACCTGGCAAGAAAAGTGCCATACGACAGCTACAGACAAGGATCAAACAACAACATCCATAAAAGAACCACTAACTATAACAGAAAAGAAAAGCTAGCAACGGAAACTAACACTCATGCCAAGATCACAGTCTTAACAATAACAAGGATTAAAAGGTGTCAGCAACCGTGGGAGTACTACCCCCCACAAGTAATGCTAGCTGAGTCGCAAAAGACTGAGACGATTCGGAATTATATGACTCTGTCAGGTGAGCCCCAGACTTTCCAGAGGATTCAGATTTTAACCCAACCTCTCAACTGTATTGGCAACCACAACTTTAAGCTTTTTGTCACCGCGCACACGACCTCCTTGAGAACCACCAAAAATGGATTGGCGGCGTTTGCGACCCTTTCTAACTGGGGAAGAACCTTGGCTCTGAGAAGTGGGAGAGGAATCAAAAGTAGACCCAAACATTGGTTTGACACGACTTTTACCTTTCTTCCAACCTTTAGAGAATTGATTCCACCTTTGCAAAGGAAGAATGCGACCTTTAATAGGAGAAGTGACAGGAGTAGATGCCAGAATCGCGTCATTTTGCACTGAGGCCATGTGACTCGGTGACGAGGAACCTGGAATAAGACCCCCATCCGGCTGCAAGACAGGGAAACCCACAGCCCAGCAACTTTACTCTTACCAATATCCTGTTCCCGTAACACAACTCATGTCGAACCACTTGAAAATTCTCCAAAAACATCACCTCCAACAAAACGTGACTGTCCACCGACACTTGAAAGAGCCACCACAGCAGTACCTGATTTGTCTCCCAGAAGAAAACCCGGGCCACTAGCACACAGACCAAACTGATCACCTTCCCAATGAGAAATCGGACGAAACATTGAAGACGATTTAGATCCAGCAAGACCTTCCTCATGATCAGTATCCCCATCTTCCAGATACAACCAATTTTTGCGAGTCCCATCACCTACCGACTCCATCCCATCTCTATCCTGACTCCAAAGGTCTTTCCCCAAGAAACCATCCACCCCCAACCAAGTCCCATACTCCTTAAGATCGTCAGGACCCACAGAAAGCCTATTTGAAGAAGATTTCCATTGATGACCGATAATTCCACAAGCAAAACAAAAAGACGGCAACTTCTTATAATGAACTTGTGCTCTTGAGTCCTCACCCGTTGGATTAGTAAGAAGAATATGGCGCCTAAAAGATATCCATCTCCACCCTAATCCGAAGAACGCAACTATCATTTCCCATCAACTCTTTCCCTTTAGTCATACTTTTTTCCCTCAGCTCGACTTTTAAACAGTGACCAAAGGAAGAAGCAATTCGGTGCCCAACTTTCTCAGTATGAAGATTAGCATTCACATCAAAAAGTTGGATCTAGAAAGGAGATACTTGAAACGGAACATCAGACCCTAATAAACCCTCCTCCCACTCTTTAATCACCACCAAATGACCATCAAAAAGCCATGGACAACCATCCAATATACGCTGCTGAATAGTAGCATCCAATATAATCATTTGAAATAAATTTCACGCCACCTTAAAAATTTGTAACCGCTTGGCAATAGGCTCCTCCTGCTGCTTCTCTTTTGGCCATAAATTGTTGAAGAGTTTACCAAAGGTAAACTTAGCTCCAGTCAAAGTAGTAGTTTTAGAAGCCCACACCTTCCCAAATAAACTCGAGCGACATACCTGATCACTTTGGGCAATATCATCCACCGACAGTTGAATAGGCTCCTTTTCCTTTTGGGTCAACGTCATACCACGGAATTGGGCCAGAATATGGTCTTCCATCACCATCCTAACAACAAAAGTCCAAAAGAACACAATGGAACCCACAACCCCCCACTGAAGTCGCCCCACCCAGTTAAAATCAAACCGAAAATAAACTAAAAAGGAATACACAAAGAGAAGGAGAAACAAAAGGAAGAAAAGAACCCAATAGTAGAAAAAGATGCTACCACTGATAGCAACAACATGAAAGTGATATATAAAACCCACAACGACCAAAACAAAATCGTAGCCATTACGACTAACAATCCCAACCATACACGTTTTACACAGGTAGAACAGATAAGACTGAACAATATCAAAAGTCATACCTGAAATAAACAGCTTCAACACTGCTTTATACAACCAGAGAGCAAAGTCATTAGTAGGGCCCCACAACAATCCAAACAGATCAGTAAGCAAATCGTGGTCTAACGTCATCCATGACATCTTTAGTATCACCGCCTTAGACCACCAAAGAACGAAGTTAAGATGCAAGCCCCACAACAATCCAAAAGACGCATCCAGATAACCTTGGCAAAATGTCAGCTATGATATCAGCTGAAAATCGGCCCACCAAGGAGGAACCGACCCAAAAAGCCGACAAGTCAACAAAGTGATAAGCAAATCAATTATCCCACCGTCGATCATGGTACAACAAATCAACCAAAAAGAAAGTAAACGAAACCATCGCCGATCGAACCACCAATGTCGACGGTACAGCAGTTCCTGAATGGTATCTCCAATCCCAAGCCAGTTCCAATGGAGACCATAGATATGAAAAAATGGTTTCAAAGATAACATCACCCAGTGTCGATCACATCCCAAATGAAAGGTTCGCCAACGCACATAGACCACAATCACCGGCACCGAGAGAAACAAGAAACAACCACAAAGCAACCCACCAATTAAGACAGCCACAAGATGGAACAAATCAGACGCGAAAAGGTAGAACAACGAAATAAAACTCCACCAAATTTTCCACAGACTAGAATTTTGCCAATAGCAAGCCGAAATTTGGAATAACACCCAAAGGAAGACATAACGAAAATAAGTTATCGCAAAACCAAACTGAAATACCCAAATCGAGAACAACGGAACACCAAATGTAGAAAATGAAGATAAAATACAAACAGCAAGGAAGCCGGATATGCAATCCCAATCTAACCCACAAAAGGGAAAAGGAGAAACAAAGAAGAGAAAGGAAAGTAAGAATCGATCCCAAAAACACCCACAATCAGATGATCCGATCTCACAACTCTCAATGGAGGCGAGAAATCAACGGCACAAAAAACCTTGACGGTGGCAAGGAACCCTAAACGTGTTAGGAAACCCCAAGGATAGGGAAAGTTTTTCCTTTGGTAAGGTAAATGATATTCAGTTGTATTAGTTAGGTTTATTTATGAAAGTAAAACAATTTTGACTATTCATGGCATGAATTGGGATCTCGTTTTAGGCCTCGATCATTTTAGATGATTAATAGCCCTAATTGTTTCACTGCATATGACAAATACGCCTAACTAGTCGGCCTGAATATCATAACTCTAATACTTATTGATGCATTGGGATTACTTCCTATGTTGAGATCATGTGTTTGCGTCTTGTACTTGTTACGTAACACAATACATCCCTTACGAATTAGTGACGAATAATTGTAGAGGATATGAATATCATAACTCTAATACTTATTGATGCATTAGGATTACTTCATGTGTTGAGATCATGTGTTTGCGTCTTGTACTTGTTAACGTATAATTGTTGAGTAAGTAATCTAAGATAGTTGCATAAGCATTTTTAAAGGTAGTTACATAAGTGATATAAAATTGTTACATAAACAATGTAAAGTACATAACATATGGTGACACATGAGAGAATTCGGTTCGTATTGATATAGCAAATAGGTTGAGATCATGGTTCGCTATATTGGCCAATATGCAACCACTTTTTAAGTTCGATACGCCATCCGTATCGGCCAATTTACACTGATTTTGTCCGAGTCCGTAATACCGCGACCGTGACCGATACTGAGAACCATGGTTGAGATGCCTTGCTAAATGGCCATACATTCATTCCATTCGAGAAATACTTTAATGCTTCTGGTATATTGATGGCATGGTATCACCAACTAATTAAATACTGATACGTAGTGATAAGATTTCATAAAGAAATGTTTTTTTTTTTTTTTTTTTTTTTTTTTTTTTTTTTTTTTTTTCAATAAGTATACAAATACATTTTTTTTACGGCCTACCTGTGTCAGACCCCTACTTTCCGAAGGGAAGTCAGGGGTTCAAACCTCAGTGAAAACATGCATGTGTGAGTATTAACAAAGAAAAAAAAAAAATAAACTTTTTCCTGTGTTAATAAAACCGATTATACGGTTTTACTGGTAAGGGGAAGTCTCTCCAGGGCCTTCAATCGATTGGGATGCCTACAAAGTGTTCATATGTAAACATAGAGTAGAATTGCTATGGAAGGGTTGAACCTAGGTATATGATGACATTATTGACTTAAGTTCACCAACCAATTAGATGCTGTGAAGGATTGAGATAGTGAAGTAAGAGCTGCACTTGCCAGAATTTTGGTACTTGAAGGAGGAGGTGTCATGTATGCCTCTACTAGTAGTTAATTATCTCTACCATGTATAGCAGTTAAAGCCATATATACCAAAAACAAACTTTCGAATTTCAACTGAATCCAATATAAGTTTTTTTTATTCTTTTTCCTTCGCAAAGATATATTTTATTATTTAAATAACTGAAATACAATCAGCAATATCTCCAATATAACATCTGAAGGGAGATTTCTCAAAGTTCTCATTAACAACGGAATTATGAATAAAGTTGAATAGCTCCAAATGAAGAACCAATGAACAAAATTTCACATTTCTAAGAAACAATTTCTTAGATTCTTATAATTTAATATATACAATTAATCTAGAAGAAGTAAAAGAAATATCAAAGACACAAAATAGGACTCCTAAAAAATGGAACTCAGAGCTTAAGAGACAAGTCTAGCTTTTTCAACTTATCCTGTTTAGTCTTCAAACCACCACCATCTCCCCACCAAATTCCACCAATTCTTTCACCTGATGGAGAATCCATCATCCTCCTCTTGCTATTGAATCTGCCAACCCCACCTTGAGACGACGCTCCGGTCAACGCAGTTGCCGGATAATTCTTCGTCGCCAGCTTCCCGATCGCCTGTTTTTGGTCCATAGGCAGCCTCGACCATCCACCATGTCCATACAAACTACTTCTGGCCCCAAAAGAATTTGGCACGTGCGGAGGCTTATGGATCATAGAGTGAACCTGAATTCCAAGAGAATTATAATTGTAAGCACCATGAAGAGGGAGTGAAGCCATACAAGAATAATAATGGTCATGCTCATGGTGGTCCAAGTAGTAGTGTAAGCTTTGCTGTCCTCTTTTTGCCAAAAACCTCTCTTTCTTGTGGGCATTTTGGTGCCCTCCAAGTGCTTGTGAGCTGTAGAATTTTCTCTGGCAATAGTTGCATGAGAAAACTCGCGGCTCGGGATCGGATGATTGGGGAGTTTCTGATGAATTTTGAGGTGAACCCATGTTGAGACAGTCAATGAGGTTGAGTTCTGGATTGAACATATGATCATTGGAGTCCATGCTGGATAGATTGAGATCCATATCTTTTCTCTCTTCTTCTTCTTGTATGTTTGCCTTTGGACTCTGCAATGAGGTCTCTGGTGTAGAGATGATTCTTGAGGTCTCTGGACATGGTTGTTTCCCTAGTGGTGGTTCCATTGGATAATATAAGTTTATTGATGGGAGGTAAAATGTTTAGGCTCTATATGGAAGCTAGTTTACAGTATTATAACAAAATAGATATATATAGAGAGAATAGTATATTTGTTTGTGACATGGAACTCCACAATATAGTATGTATCCTCCTTATCTATGTATTCATTGAGGAGTTAATTATATGAAATACAAAAACCAAGGAAGGAGTCCATTGTTTTTGCTATTTAGGTCCAAAAGTCGCTCAAAACTCTTGTACCAAAATTGTCTCATTGCTTGTTCTAAAGCCTATTGGTGGTCAACGTACAAGGACAAAACAAAACAACTTGTTATGCAAAATTATCTGCTCTCTTCTACTTCATGTCACTAGTTGGTGGGTCCATATCATCTAAAACCAATGTGTTTATCGCGTCAGTAGACTGATCCTCGCCATCACTGATTTTATTTTATTTATTATTATTTTCGTTTTTTTGGAGGAGATCTTCGAGAATATAATTGCAGTTTGGAAAGTACTCAATTTCTTAATTTCTCCTCATCTAGAACACTTGGTATAAATTCAACTCATTTATGTCCGAGAAAAGGTTATGCATCAATATACCTGAACTACATACTTGTCTCTAGTGGGTCCAAGACTTTCCTATCTTGATTCGTCGGATACGTGATGTATCGGCCGATATGCGACCCTTTTTCAAATTCTATACGCGACCCGTATCGACTCATTTACATTAATTTTATCCGTGTCCGTTATACTGAGATCGTGACTCCCGAACCATATTCCCTGCTTCTTTTGAAAACTTGCTTCCACAATATAACTTTAGATTTACATTGACTGCCCCTTACATGCTTGCATAGTGTAATCAGTAGCTTGTTTTCTTTCTTACGGTCTTTAATTGCTTTCATTAGTGTCGCCATGTGACAGAGCAACTTTGTAACACTTAGTTTAGTTTTCATTTTTAAGTTGTAATTCATGCGTGGATCGAGGCTCTGGTCAAATCATGGTCGAATGTAACTAGGACCTCACATTTTGTACTTTTGGAGGAATTGTAACTTGTGTTAATTCCTTCTTAGCCTAAATGTTAGGATTGTTTCTCGTTGTCTTTAAGAGTTCGACTTCGAGTCTTCATTTCTCCCTTGCCATGAAAAAAAGAAACTAATGTTCATTTACTACTTTGAAGTTAGTTACAAGAATGCTACTTTGTAAGGTATTGATTGTGATATGGTTGTTCTCCTCTTTTTTTCTGTATCTTGACTCTTTCTAATTGCAATCAACTTATTTCAAATGGTTCAATAGATTTTTTTGTTGTTAGGATATTAACTCCCTCCAACTCACTCCACGGTCGGTTATTGTTGAGAGTTAAATATCTTCTTTATCACACATACAGAAGCGTATATCATCATCACACAAACATATAAAGAGATAACAATCATATACATTCATGCACTACACAATATTTTACATGGTTCACCCAACTCTATGACGACGTCCATAAAGAGAGAGACTTTATTATTATGAATCAAAGAAGAGCATATACAATCAGCTGTCAAAACCCCACTTACTCATCATCGCTTTTGAGGCTACATCTCAGAATTACATATATTTTCTGCTCTCCTCATAACACTCACCAACCTCTTTCATATTTTTCTCTCTTTTCTTTCTACCTCTTACACCCCATCTTTATTTATAGATTTTTCAACCTCAATTCCTTATTGGACAAGAATTCTCTAACTTGCCTATTAAGAGTTATCATATTAGTATTCAACTCTAAAATAGCATGAGCTTACGGCCAAAAATGAACAGGTTCCAAAAACTGTTGAAAAGATCCATTGGGGTTACTCATCATCGCAACACACCCCAAGTGAACTACTGGTCGATCTTCTGCACATGATTTCAAGCCACAAACTTAACAATCTCTACCTTGGCCTGAATTTGGTCTTCACGCGCTACCCCAGAACTCCACATCGACTAAAGATCTCCTATAACTTCATCTGGATTGAAGATTTCTCCACCTCGAACCAAACACTACGATAAAATTAAGAAACACTGACATTTGAGTTAAGGCTGAGGTAAACGAACATGTGAGATGGTAATTTCATGCTCTCCATAATCATTCAAGTTAGATAAGGCCAAAGTAACATGCCCCTCCTCGACCATAGACATTAGGAATATTTGCTTGGCTCTAGTTAGGTCGGCTGAACAACTTAGCCACCCCAAATTTGGACTCGACAATCCTAGCACACCCACACTCATAAAATTACAAGTATACCCCTGTAGCACACTTTGAGGCACACATAAAGCTCGAAACACTAATTTAATATTAAACAAGTTAATTAATGTAAGTAAACCACACTTTGCATATTTACGTATGTAGTGAATCAATTACAAGAAGACTAGTCTTTTAATCTTTACAAACTTGACCCAAAAAAAGGAAAAAAAGAAAAGAAAAAAGACATGGAACATGTGTGTGATTACTAAAGAAAGATTGATGTTACTTAATGGAAGATTAATAGCACTGAAAGCTCCAATCGAAGGGCTTTTAGCCTTAGATGCATCTAGTAGGACCAAAGCAAGAGTTTACTAGATGCATCTAAAAGATTAGACAGCCCTTTGGTTAGAGTTTCGGTGGTCCTCACTTGTAGTTCCACAATCACTTTCCTTAGAAAAAAATTCTTGAAAAATTGTTAGATGGTACTAGTTCTTCTCTTCTTTTGGATAGATTGAGTATTAGTTCCTTAACCTGGATGTAAGACTTTAGGTTACTAATTTTGAAGTCTTATTAGGTGCATTAAGCCCATATATTATTAAATTGAAACAAGCCAAGTTTATATCAATAAAGATCATAATTTATGTGAAAGAGAGCGATGATTTCTTGATTTTGTTATCAAGTTACCTAGCGGAGCTCAAATTTCTGTTGGAAACGGGGTATACAAAATAGAAACTTTGGATGAAATCTGGAGTAGATTTTGCTAAGAATTTTTTTGCGGATCTATAGATGAACACTTTCCTCTCCGCAAGGAGATGAACATGGTATATTTACTTTCTCAAATCCATTTCTGGGTGAATGAAAAATTAGCTCCAAAATGAGGTGTTTGATAAGCCTAAATGGGTATGCAAAATATGGGAAGTGCTTGTCCCACGTGGAAAAAATGTTGAAACCAATTGAAGTTTAAAAATGTTGAAACCAATTGAAATTTAAATAAGTTCAACACAATACTTAGGCAAGTTTGGGTCCAAACCATCTACCACACACGCGTGCCTGGTCCAATCCGGGCTCGGTTATAATAAGTCCGGTTAATCTTTTTATTAAACGAAATTGGACCTGTGTTGGACTTAATTTAATTTTTGGCTGGGCTTAAATTGGTTTTTCATTGAAAGGGTGAGACTGGTCCAAACCAGTGCATCAGAGGTTGCATTTGGTTCGAACCAGTGCTTCAATTTAAATTCAATATAAAACCAGTTTTTCAATTTTTCTATTTTGAATGAACCATTATGACCCATGGTTGCACCCATCCGAAAAGGCACCTTGCTGCCTATACAAACCCCCTTTGGGATCATTTGTAAAGTACTCCAATTCAGAATACTTCTTCTCCTATTCTGAATTCTCTCATCTTCTCTCTTCTTGCATTCATATAGCAATAATGTGTGACTTCGAGTCTGAGTTCGAGTCTACTACAGAGAGAGTACTACACCGAGTCGAGTCGCTCGTTTCTTCGGTTTGCAGTATTACTATTGAAGGAAGAAAAAGTCGTTGTATTTTGGGAAATAGACGCTACTGAGTCTGTTAGCACCATAGCGGGACGAATTTATCTTAAGGACATATAATCAAATTCTAGCCTTGATTTATTATCAAGTTCTTTTATGTTTGTTTTATTTTATTATATATAACTATATTTTACAAGAAATTATATATATATATATATATATATATATATATATATATATATATATATACACACACACACACACACACACACACACATTATAATTTTACATAATATTTAAATAGTAATGCTATACTATATGATATGCTTAGACCAAATTTTGGATAACAATTTCTTCAATTATATATGAGTGAGGTAGACTTGTACCATCTAGGCTAGATTCCATCGGTTTTAGAGCCACGCTTGCACCTTTTTTTTTGTTTTTGTTTAAGCAACTGACAAATATGGGATGGGGACTCGAACTGGCCTTTGGTCACAAGCACCAACACCTTACCGGGCTATCACCCCACACCCCACACTTGCACCTTGCATATATGCGTTTGTACGTGCGCAAGCCTCAAAATAAATTAAGCTTATGCGTCCATAAGTAATACACCCGTTAGTTTTTTTTGTTAATATACCCTTACCCCCTCTTCTACTACTAAAATAACTACTATATAAATTGAGATTTTTTTTTAATTTTTTTTTATTTTTTATTTTTAATTTTTTTTTTTTTACAACATAAAGCAGTTAACATGTCTTTTATACAACTATATTTTAAATATATACAAATAAACAATTCAATATATTCAAATTTAATCCAACATGCCATATATAAAATTTGTAAATTGTGCTTAAAAAAAGTCACCAACTCACTTGTGACCAGAATATCGGATTCTTTATTGGGTACATAATCCTCATTTTCAATATATATTTGAAATTCCAATTCAACACTAACCTTCCTCGTAAAATTGTGGAGAGTCGGCGAAGCACTAACACGGAGTGCTTGCTTATTAAACTCAAAATTAGGAATATTTTATAAGATTCTCTATTTGCCTTCCAGATACCAAAGTTCATTTTATAACTCTTTGTAAGAAAATTTTTCTTGATTAAATTTTTCTCTGATGAGTGAAATAGTTTCCTAAATTTAGTAGAAACCATAAGGACCTTCGTCCTTATTTTATCAAATAATTTCATTTCAACCATAAACATAGAAAAATAAGGTACTAACAGATACCCACGAGATCACTAAATAAATAGGAGGAAAAAGAAGTTACCAACAAATATCAATGCAATCATAAACATAAAAATCAGAGAGCCAAAGTATAACAAACCAACAAATATCAATGTACTGTCAATCACTTTTTTATTGTTTATTTTACAACATGATGATGTTTCCATAAGAAAAACAAAAAAAGAGTAGTAAACCTTGTCATCCACAGAAGAAAAAAAAACCTTGCAGTTGGGATATGTAACCT